CCATCAACAGATTTTGTCTAATAATACAAAATTTTCACAGGATAGAGTTCATGCCTTGGATAACATGATGATGGTTATAATAAGTCACGTGATCAGATTATGACGTCATAAAATTGACAAAAACGGAGAAAGTCAATATGGCTGAGTACATTTTATCTGTACACACAATCTTAAACATCTTTTTGGAGAGGCCATTTACATTTGTTCTTATTTTTGTATAAAGTTCCTTACACTTATCAATTAAAAACTATTGAGAAAAATATCACAATTTAGACAGAAGATACGAGGCATTTTACACCCATAATAAAATAAAAATCTTATTACTGAAGCTTAAATTGCCTGTAGTATTGGAAAGTCCCGTCTCTGAATTTAAAAACAGGCTTATAACTTATCTACATGTACGTCTCTCTCAGGGAAAAATAAAAGTTTACCCTGCTAGATCTGGTCACTGCACCCATTTAGTAATCATTTAACCTGTGTTTTCCTCGTTCGTGAACGTGAGGGGTCGTTCATTGTGTCCCTACCCACGTATCCTCAAAAGTATTTACTTAATAGTAATCAAACTTATATGGTAAGTAGAGTATTCAAAACTGTTTAGTAATTAGCGCTTTTCAATCATGTCGTTATTGCACACGTGAATGACATCACAATTCAAATAATACAAAGGGTTAAAGCTCCTTGTCTTCGTCATTTTCTTGGAGGTTGCTGCATTCATTTTCACAAGTGCAATCAGCCACGGCAAGAACATCTTACATTGCATTCCTTCTTACTCCTGCACACAGTCAGTTCCGAGAGATTCTCTGAAGCTGGATCTTTCTCCATCAATTTGTGAACAAGATGTCCCCACTCATCCTTAGTCCACCCATTTCCATCTGGTAATGTTAGTGAAAGCCTCCTGTCTCGGGCATGTTTCCAAATGAAGCATTGATAGTTGGCCCTTTTGACATATACAATACACTAGCTCCAGTAGGTGGAAGTTTGCTGCTTTCCAGGTGTTTGTTGGTAAAAAGCTTGTACCTGAGATGATTCAAATTTGAAGTAGGAGACTGATAAATTTGAAACAAACAGTCAACGTTTCATCGCTCGTGACTGTGCAGTCTGTACCCAGGTTCTTCAGTCCAACAGGGTCATCTTTATGTTTCTTCAGTGTAGTGAGCCCTTCCTTTCTGCTTATGCCGTTTAGGTTACTCGTGGAATCACATCCTGTCAAAACATGCATGGCCGGTAAAATATTCCACACATATGGACCCACAACCTCGTGCATGGGAATGAACCTTCTGTTTCCTCCAGTACCTGTGTGGAACCAATGCTTGAATGGACAGTTGGCTGAAGTAATACCAACATAAAACTGCTACATCTGTGTCTGGAGAAAAAACGATGATCCTCTTGGAAGAATTGATGTCTGATGACTGGTTTGCACACAGGCGGTCCAAGCTCACAATGTGAGGATTTTTTTTGTTTGTTTGTTTTTTTGATCTTTATGCGAACGTTCAGTGCGCGAAACGTGACACGGTTACCGCCGACATCTACTATTACATAACGACCGAGTTTGGTTACGCGAAACGTTCAGTCCAGAATCGAGTGTGTAGCCTTTACTCTTTCTTAGTAGAGGAAAACTATTAAGCGATAACTTGCTTAAAAGGCTTTGGATTGAGCTGAGAAGCGAGATGACAGTAGAAAAGACAACAAGGCATTGAAGTGAGCCATTTTTATTGCAAAAATAGCAAAATTTCAGCTATAATGTCGATTACTGTTTTTCCCTGTACAAACCTTTATAAATTCAAACCGTTGTTACACAACACCACCACATACTGCAAGGCGAAGGTCACGTTTTGCGCAACCAAACTCGGTCGTTATGTAATAGTAGATGTCGGCGGTAACCGTGTCACGTTTCGCCCACTGAACGTTCGTATAAAGATAAAAAAAACAAACAAAAAAAAAATTCTCGCATTGTGAGCTTGGGCCGCCTGTGGTTTGCGATATAATCCCAATGCACAAACATCCTACTGTCTGTGTCCTCGTGGTCGGAATAGAGAGGAATTATATCTTCTCTGTTCAACGTTTTGGTCACTTTCACTGCTGACCCATCTTGTGATGCTAGAATGAGTGTTTGACCATCCTGAGTTGTCCGGGAAGTTTCTCACACCAAATGCAATCAGAAAGTAGAAACGTCAACAAAATAGATTTGGTTTTTCCATTGGACAAATAACTGGCAGGTCACTTCGTTTCTCTGCTCTGAATCTATTGCAAGTCTATCTTTTTGTCAAGGGTCAAGGGTCGAGGGTAATATATTTTTTTCTGAGCTTTTTTTTCAAATGTCACAAATCGTAGGAGTTTTGAATTGGAGGCTTGTCAATCCCATTCACTACATTGAAGTGTGTTTGCTTTGCCATTAACATCAAACCTAATTTGGTAAAATGTTGGCGTGACTTCCTGTCACACGATCAGTCGAACTTTTCAATAAATTTTCTGAAATACATGCCGTAACT